GGGGGGGGGTCCCTCCAGTGTGTTTGCACTCGGCTGTACCACCGCTTCTAGCTCGCCTCACCTCGGAGACGTAGAAGCAAAGGCACTGAGGCAGCTGTGACAACGGGGCGGAAAGAACACGGGACCGGACTGCATCACACTCTCAGGCTTTTTGCAAACAGCCGTGTGGTTTCAGATGCATTGCTTCCAGTTCCTTCTGGTTCCAAAATTCTGTGACCTCGAGGTCACACAGGGAAACAGGAGGACCCTGCCCCACGTAAGCAGTGACTCAGTTTGAAAGCCACGCTTCCTTTTTTTGGGGGAGTATCACTCTCTTGAATAGGGAAGAAACGTACACAGAGGAAATCCAAAGTAGAAAAAATTGCCCTCGGCGGCATTTGAAACAGGGTAAGAGAGGGCCGAGAATGAAAGTGATCAGAAAAGGACATTTCTAGGCTCTAGAAACTCAAAAACAGTACCAACTGATGGATGGGCTCCAGGAAGAATTTTAAAAACGCCCCCGTTGACCCTTCGTGGCTGCAAATCACCTATTCTGACGGGAACGATCGGTTACTAATGTATCTTTCCGTGTTTTGTAGCCTTCACGTTTGGGGGCAAAAGAAGCCTTTGAGTGCCCCTCTCTCGGTCCTTGAAACATTTATTATTTGTATTTCCCACTCACTTCTGATCTGTGTCTCCTCCTGGTTTTCACAGACATAACCCTTTAATAACGGGGCCTTTGAAAGAACAACAACATATTGGAATTGATTTTTTTTCTTTAAGTTTTTTTGATTCCCGGCGGTGTTGGACGGTTACATTCTTCCAGGTGTTTCCATGACCAACAGAAAATGAAGCAGGATCAACTAAGGGAGGCACTTCTGGAAAAGCACTGTGGATCCCAATACGACTTTGATCGGCATCGGCTTTAGGAGACATAAGGGACCGAGGGCGTGCTGAGGGGCAGAAAGCTCAGTGCACGACCATCTCCTCTTAGGACAACTCGAGACCCACCCCTTGAGACCCACCCCGACACCTCTGGCTGAATCTCCAGACACTCTGTGACCACGCCCCCCCCCCCGCCCCTCCCTCTGTTTCTGTCTTTCTTTTTTTTTTTTCAACAGAGCTTTTCAACCCCAGCTTTTTCATACCTCAAATTTCTGGGCTTCTAGCCGCAGTTTTTCTATATTTTGGCTGACTTCTGTTAATTTGTGATCCAGGCTGGCTGGGTCTCCCATCTGAGGATTCTTTAGGTAAACATCTTTCATTTTTGTGATGGCATCTCTGGAGGGGGGGGAGGGGGAACCAAGAATGAGCAGAACACGGTGAAAGGTGAATGTCACGAGCTAAGTGCAGTCTCCTGACGCCCTGGGAACCGTGTGAAGGTTAAGCAGGGGAAGACTGGGTAACGTCTGGGTTGGCGGGGAGCATCGGGGCGTGCTTTCCTTCTTCAAAACTCTGTAAGAATTCCGCTACCCAGGCCTGTGTCATCCAGAGACGGTTATTAAACTCTCAGGTCGCCTCTTCTGCATGCTACCTGGTGTCTCCCCGTTGCCTTTAGCAGTTGAGAAACGTGAATCGATCCTGACCCCTCCCCTTGCCCCAAACGACCATAAAACCAAAGCAAACCCAGAGATTTCCTTGTGCGCATCCTTCACGCAAGCCAAAGCGACAGCTGCCATCCTGGGTCCTGTGGGGCTATCGTTCGCTCACCCCGTGGAGAAGCACAGTTAACTGCTTTGGAAATTTCCCTACACACCCCCTTCAGCTATTAAGAAACCAGACCCATCCAGTTGGTATCCATGATGGGAGAGCAGCCGAGCCTCAGAGCTGCGTACAGCGAGATTCCACCGCCTTCCTGAAATCAGGTGTCGGAGGCCCGCCCACAGCAGCCCGAGTAAGGGATCCCCATGCTTGGGTGATCTCTAGGACCACAGAGGCCTATTCATTTGAACTCTGGCTTCAAGGCACCTTCAGAGGGGGTCAAGATGTTAAAAAGTTTAGGGGCGCCTGGGTGGCTCGGTCGGTTGAGCATCCAACTCTTGATTTCGGCTCAGGCCACGATCTTGCGGTTCGGGAGTTCGAGCCCCGCGTCGGGCTCTGCGCTGACAGCCCGGAGCCTGGAGCCTGCTTCGGGTTCTGTGTCTCCCTCTCCCGCGCCCCAAAATAAATACACATTAACACATTTTTTCAAAAAGACGTTAAAAGCTTAACCCAAGTGACTCTGCGGGTGGTAGCGGGCCAAGTTCAAGGAGCTTCCGTAAAAGACACTCTACACCCATCACACGACATCAGACCAATGAACCAAACCCTATTCTGAGTCACAGGAAATAGTTTAAATTTTAAAAAAAAAATTTTTTTTTTAACATTTATTCATTTTTGAGACAGAGAGAGAGAGAGCATGAACAGGGGAGGGTCAGAGAAAGAGGGAGACACAGAATCTGAAACAGGCTCCAGGCTCTGAGCTGTCCGCACAGAGCCGGACGCGGGGCTCGAACCCACGGACCGCGAGATCGTGACCTGAGCCGAAGTCGGACGCTTAACCGACGGAGCCACCCAGGCGCCCCTAAATTTTTTTTTTTAATGTTTATTTATTTTTGAGAGAGACAGAGACGGAATGAGAGTGGGTTAGGGGCAGAGAGAGAGGGAGACACAGAATCCAAAGCAGGCTCCAGGCTCCGGGCTGTCAGCGCAGAGCCCGACGCGGGGCTCGAACCCACAAACCGTGAGATCATGACCTGAGCCCACAAATCCTCCCCATGCCTCTACCCAACCCTTCACATCTGAGCGCAGCCGTCCCGCGGCTCCTCTGAGGGTACCCACTGCTCGCTGTCCCTGAGGCCACAGCTTCAGAACAGCCCTCCATCCACCTGCACTCCCTGCCCCCTCACTTTGTTCCACTTCCTTCTTTTCCATGGCATGTATCACTTTCCAGCACGACATAATTTATCATCATGCGTCTCGTTCATCGTCTATCTCTTCCTACCCGATTAGAAGCTCTTTGAGGAAGCCCTGGGGGCTCCAGCTCTCATTGATTTGGTATCTCCCTGCTGGCGGGCCCATACCTGGCACACAGTAGGTGCTCAATAAATGCCGGCGAGACGAATACGGCAAACAAACTGTAGCGTCCACCTGGACGCAATTCCTCTCTTGGCTTTATGGCTACACTGCCAGCTACAGCCCAATTTCTCTGCAAATCTTCTCAAGAGACTTGACGCGATTCTCTTCCTCCTCTCTCTCCTGATCGGTCTCTCCAGAAGCTTAATTTCATTCATCTTTTCAAGGGACCAACTTTTGGATTTGTCGATCCCCTTTGCTGAGGGCGTACTTTTTTTTCCTACATAACTAATTTACGTTCTTTCCTGGCTTCTATTTATCTTTGGTTCCATTTGCTGTGTTTTTTCTAACTTTTTTTTAAATAATTTTTTTAAGTTTATTTATTTATGATTGAGAGAAAGAGAGAGAGAGGGCACAAGCTGGGGAGAGGCAGAGAGAAAGAGGGAGACACAGAATCTGAAGCAGGCTCCAGGCTCTGAGCCGTCAGCGCAGAGCCCGACGTGGGGCTCGAACTCACAGACGGTGAGATTGTGACCTGAGCCGAAGTCAGACACATAACAGACCGAGCCACCCAGGTGCCCCCTTTCCTAACTTCTTGAGATGGATACTTAGCTCACTGATGTTTAGCGGGTTTTTTTTTTTTTTTTTTTCTAATATGTATCATAAAGCTCTAAGTTTCCTTTTATGAGTATCACCTTAGTGATAGCCCAGTAGCTGATTCAGAGAATGTGCGTTCAGGTTCAGTTCTGCTCTGTGTATTTCCCAGTGCCTAGTATGACTTCTTTAGTCTCTCAGTTATTCAGAGCTACATTTCTGAATTTCTAAATTTTTGTTCTTGGTAACCAGCTTTATGTCAGGCTTCAGGGAGCACACCTTGAATGCGGTCTCCCCTTGGATGTTTGTAGAGATTCGCTTCGTGAAAACAGGATGTGCTCAATTTTTGGAAATGTTCTGTGGGTGCTTGAAAAGAATGCGTACCATGCAATCAGTGGATAGGTGTGTCCTGGGTCAATGTGATCAATCCTATCATTTAAATATTCTGCCCTGAATGTGTTAAATCTGTTCTGTCAGTTACGGACAGAAGAGCATTAAAAAAAAAATCTCTCCCTACAACGATGTGTTTGTGTTTCTTGTACACACTGATGTCCAAGGGTTAAGAGCAAAACGTTGTTTATGTTTTGAGGTCATCTGGTCCTACGGATTTAACTGAGCTGTTTGGTACTCGAAGTATTTATCGTTATAAAGTTGATCCTCCTTGAGCTGAATAGTTAGAGGGTTTTTTGGCCCGAAAGTCAGTCTTCCTTTGGTCGGCACTGGCCAATCAGTGGATGACAGATCTTTTTCCATTCTTTTATTTTCAACCTTTCTGTACCTTGCGTGTTAGGGGTGCCCTGGAGCCTGCTTCGGATTCTGTGTCTCCCTCTCTCTCTGCCCCTCCCCTGCTAGAGCTTTGTCTCTCTCTCAAATAAATAAACATTAAAAAAATTTTTTAATGAAATCTACCATCAACTTTGCGCTTCTGACTAATCCTGCCTTCTTCTACACACAAATGTCAGCGGCATGACATAGGGTTTGTTCATCACTTTATCCTCAGTGCCTATGATATCTCCTTGCACACAGTACATGCTCACTAAACAGTCATTTAGTGAAGGTTTAAATGTGATTTGCCTAATTACCAGCAAGGCTGCTGGAAGGGTTAAAAGGTTAACCAGGTTCCCTGGCCATGACCCAAGTGGCAGAGGAAATTTTCTACGTAATTATTGGACAGCGTCCGGTGTCATCTCGGATACTTGAGTCCTAACTTCCTACTCTCGGACAGAACACAACTGCTCACATATTAAACGGCATGAGGTTTAACTGGCTTATATACACCGATGACCCTTTCTGTATTTGGTCCCACGTGTAATAAAAAGTACAGGGACAAAGTTTTCATTTCAGGAGGTGTATTTCTAATATAAAACAGCAGCGAAGGTAATTATATGTGCTGCTACATTTTATATGGCGTAACAGGATTTATAAAACTCACCCATTTTTCAGGAGCTGCTTTACCAGAGGCAAAAAAATAAATAAATAAACAGCTACTTTTCTTTTGCATGTACTTTAACTGTACTGACCTACCAATTGTTTGATTTATGCATAACCAAATTTTATTTTTAAAAACGATTTTTTTTTAATTTTTTTTTTTTTTCCAAACGTTTTTTATTTATTTTTGGAACAGAGAAAGACAGAGCATGAACGGGGGAGGGGCAGAGAGAGAGGGAGACACAGAATCGGAAACAGGCTCCAGGCTCTGAGCCATCAGCCCAGAGCCCGACACGGGGCTCGAACTCACGGACCGCGAGATCGTGACCTGGCTGAAGTCGGACGCTTAACCGACTGCGCCACCCAGGCGCCCCTAAAAACGATTTTTTTTAGTGTTTATTTATTTTTGAGAGAGAGACAGAGAGAGAGAGAGACACAGAGCACAAGCAGGGGGAGAGAGGGAGGCACAGAATCCAAAGCAGGCTCCCGGCTGCAAGCCGTCAGCGCAGAGCCCGACGCGGGGCTCGAACTCACGAACCTTGAGATCATGACCTGGGCCGAAGTCGGACGCTCAACCGACTGAGCCACCCAGGCGCCCCTGCATAACCCGATTTTAATCCCAGCTTCCATATTGTTCAAATTACACAGAGTCACTTTTTGGCTACATGCAGAGCACAAAATCTCAAGTTATCTTTTAGAAAATCTCAAGTTCAAATCTCAGCTGGATCAGTGACTCACCTAACTCACTCAGGGAGAATTTTAGAAGGTGGGAGACGATTAACAAAGTGGTTTTTCAATCGGGATTAGTAGCAAGTATCCCCTACGTGATATAAAAGATGTACAGGTTATAAACGTGGGAAGCACAAGGGAAGACAGATATCACATCTCTTCCGTTTTTTTTTTTTTTTTTTTTTTTTTTTTTTTTTTTTTTTTTTTTTTTTTTTTGTGGGTACGATTCTAGGAACTTGCAAAACAGCTCCGAAAACTGGGAACCCCGGAAGGGGAGGCAGAAGCTGGTCAAGAGTCAGCAACCATCACCCCCCTGACGGCTGGCGGTGTGTAGGGCATACTGTGATTTATTTTCTAGACACTGTCAATATGTTCCGTAACAAGATACGGAGACGCGAGAACCTCTGGGAAGGCTGACTGTCATTCAACGTCAGGGAGAAGAACAAGCACGTTTTGGACCCAAAGCTAGGACACGGGGCAAGGGGGAGGGGCTAGAGTCACGCCATGTTTCTCTTCCTCATTTGTACACGAGACTTGGCTCTGGGGCACGTGGGTGGCTCAGTGGGTTAAGCATCTAATTCTTGATCTCGGCTCCGGTCACCCTCTCAGTTTGTGAGACAGAGCCCCGTGTCAGGCTCTGCGAGGACAGTGCGGAGCCTGCTTGGGATTCTTCCTCTCTCCCTCTGTCCCTTCTCCCCCTCCTCTCTCCCTCTCAAAATAAATAAACTTAAAAAAAACAAAAAAAAACAAAAAACCAACCCTCAGCTATACAGTCACGATTTAAAAAAAGAAGGTGGGGGGGATGGGTGAAGCAGATTAAAAGCACACGGATCATGATGAACACTGCGTAAAATATGAACTGTCGAATCACCACATTGTCCACCTGAAGCTAATACGACACCGCACGTTAACTCTACTGGAATTAAAATTAAACACCTAGAAAGAAATACAAAATTTAAGGGTCGCCTGGCTGGCTCGGCCGGGGGAGCGTGCGACTCTCGATCTCGGGGTTGTTGAGTTCAAGCGCCACGTTGGGGGTAGAGATTACTTCAAAAGAAGTAAAAAAAATTTTTTTTAAATGCACAAATATAGAAAAAAAAAAAAACCTTATGTATTTTGTTGCCCAAACTCAGAATAAAACCTATTTGTGAAAAGAATTCTCCTGATCGGTACTGAAGTCCTCCAGGAGACTCTCCGCGACAAAACACGCGGCCGAAATAGTCACTTATGTTGAACCCGTTTTAGGATTTCCTGTCTTTCCAAACTGAACCTGAATTCCTCTTTTTCTTTCTTTCTTTCTCTTTCTTTCTTTCCTTCTCTTTCTTTC